AATTCCTAAACTAATTACCTCTTTATGATATAATTAAGTATAATTCAATAAGCAATTTCAAGGTCCTTGCAATTCTATTTTCCTAGAATTAAGGAACGAAACTAAATTCCGAATTTGATTTGAATGAATCCTAGGATTCAGGATTCTAGGTAAAATGATTCAGGTTTACGAATTCGTAATACAATTTTATCATCTTTATTATGGAGAATTTTCGAATCAAAAATAAATAAGTGTATCTTACTGAAATACACAACACGTAGGTATATTTTTTTGAATAAAGAAAAATTTTGTTTACGATAACCCAGGTTACGAAAATAAATAAATGTAGCACCCTGATAACACTTCATTCATTAAATCTTGACCCATTTGAACAATAGCGTCATTCAAACTGAAGACGTCAGCATTTTGGAGCATCTGCGTGAAATCAACAAATAATTTTATCAAGTAAATTTTTTTCATTTCATTAATGAAATAGATAAACTGTTTTTCAACTTAATTAGTTTACCAGTTAATAAAGGGTTTTCTTAAACTTTGTATCAAAATTGATTCATAAAATACGTGAAAACTGACTAAAAAAAAGTGCTCAAAGAACAAATCTCTATCGATCAATGTATTTTTGGTTCAGAAGATACAGAAATTGATTTAATTGTTATTAAAGAAATTTTACTTGTTTTCCATTGATTAGAAAATTGAAAAGGTGTTTGGCAAAGTTTATATTCTGTAATGCTCAGAATTTTTGTCTGATTTCATTGGTTTGCATTTATAGTTTCTTTTTTCTCAATATTTCATATACCTACAGTAGAACCTCGATTATCCAAGGTAACGTGGGGGTACCCACCTCGGATAACTGAAAACTCGAATAATACATGTACCATTTTAAACGAAACAGGCTAAATATCTGATGTCACTTTTATTTTTTTTGATTGTTCGTATACGTTATTTGATTGAGTGAGTGTCTGAAACATTTTCACCATTAACTTAACCCTCTAGCGGAGGTAGGACCAACCCTTATCATTCCAAATGGAACAGGGGTTCGAGTGATACCTGTTTCAAAAGAGCGCTCAATTTTCTTTCAAATGACATTAAATAAAAGAGAATTGAACACTCTTTTGAAAGATGTATCACTCGACCCCTTGTTCTATTTAAAATAGTGAGGGTTGGTCCTACCGCGCCTAAAGGGTTGAAGTTCATATGCTGAAAATGATTGCAAAAAACTTCCCCCTTTAAAAATCAAATTACGTGTAGGTACGGGCGATTTTTTGAAAAATAAACGTAGCATCAGATATTTAGCCTGCTTCGTTTTGAATGGTACACCCTGTATGTATGTACAGGGTGTTTTTTTATATATTGACACCCCACCTACATCAGCCTTTACCTTTACAGATAGAGGAAAGCTGTAAATACAAAAGTTGTACAGTTTTGGATAAATTTTTAAAATCCATGGTCAGAAACGAAAATTGAATGTCAGACATGTGGAATTTTGCATGATTTTAGCTTTTTTCAAATAAGATGCGCAATATTTGGTTCTATATTTTTGAAGAGTATAATTTCTCGATTTCAAAACTATATAGTTTGTCTGTATTTGGTTGAGCCGTCTCCAACATATTTGGTTCTAAAAATTTTTAAAATACTATCAGAGAAATCAAGTACCTACCTCAAATTTCACCTATAGCTTTCACCTGTACAGGTAGAATGATTCACAAAATCAGGTAAAGTTCGTTTCACCAGGGTTCATACTTGACCTTGAAACTTGACAAACAAGGGTTGTCGTAAATTAATTCATATGACACATTCCATTTTTTTGACAAATTAAAATGAATGACGTCTGGTTTAAGAACCGACGATCATTTTTGACGTCATTGATTTGTTTCAGTCAATTTTCATTTGTTAAAAAAGGAAGACAAATGCTGGTGGCAAGTACAAACCCTGGTGAAACAAACTTTAGGTATTTTTACAATTTTTGGAGCCGAATATATGAGCTCCCATTTGAAAAAAGCTGGAAGCATTACAAATAAGTGGATTATTGCGGAACTTATGGGTGGACCTCTGCGGGACGAGCTCAGCGAGTTCCGCAGCCATCTTCTCACCAATATACTGTTGAACTGTTCAAATAAGACACTCACCTGAAACGTGTAGTTTTTGAACTAATGAGAATAACTGACATTTGAGTGATTCAAGTTAGTTTGGGCTAGTAGGTACTTGAACAACATATTAATGAATAGATGACCGCAGAGGTCCACCCATAAGTGCCGCAACAATCCACTCGTTTGTACTTGAATAACTTACCACATTATATTACTAGTTTGGTAAAGTAACATTACCAATGCCTGTTAATAGGCAAATTGACAAAAAGTGGATAATCTTACAAATTCTGACTTTATATAATAAGTTATTGTTTAAGTACAAATAGGTGGATTATTGCGGAACTTATGGGTGGACCTCTGCGGGACGAGCGCAGCGAGTTCCGCAGCCATCTACTTACCAATATACTGTTGAACTATTCAAATAAGACACTCACCTGAAGCGTGTAGTTTTTGAACTAATGAGAATAACTGACATTCGAGTGAGTCAGATTAGTATCGTACTTGAATAACATATTAATGAATAGATGAGGTCCCCCCATAAATTCCGCAACAATCCACCCGTTTGTACTTGAATAACTTGTCATATTATATTACTAGTTTGGTAAAGTAACATTACTAATTCCTGTTAAAAGGCAAATTGACAAAAAGTGGATAATCTTACAAATTCTGACTTTATATAATAAGTTATTGTTTAAGTACAAATAAGTGGATTATTGCGGAACTTATGGGTGGACCTCTGCGGGACGAGCGCAGCGAGTTCCGCAGCCATCTACTTGCCAATATACTGTTGAACTGTTCAAATGAGACTCTCACCTGAAACGTGCAGTTTTTGAACTAATGAGAATAACTGACATTCGAATGAGTCAGGTTAGTATCGTACTTGAACAACATATTAATGAATAGATGACTGCGGAACTCGCTGCGCTCGTCCCGCAGAGGTCCACCCATAATTGCCGCAACAATCCACTCGTTTGTACTTGAATAACTTGCCACATTATATTACTAGTTTGGTAAAGTAACATTACCAATTCCTGTTAATAGGCAAATTGACAAAAAGTGGATAATCTTACAGATTCTGACTTTATATAATAAGTTATTGTTTAAGTACAAATAAGTGGATTATTGCGGAACTTATGTGTGGACCTCTGCGGGACGAGCGCAGCGAGTTCCGCAGCCATCTACTTACCAATATACTGTTGAACTATTCAAATAAGACACTCACCTGAAGCGTGTAGTTTTTGAACTAATGAGAATAACTGACATTCGAGTGAGTCAGATTAGTATCGTACTTGAATGACATATTAATGAATAGATGAGGTCCCCCCATAAATTCCGCAACAATCCACCCGTTTGTACTTGAATAACTTGTCATATTATATTACTAGTTTGGTAAAGTAACATTACCAATTCTTGTTAATAGGCAAATTGACAAAAAGTGGATAATCTTACAAATTCTGACTTTATATAATAAGTTATTGTTTAAGTACAAATAAGTGGATTATTGCGGAACTTATGGGTGGACCTCTGCGGGACGAGCGCAGCGAGTTCCGCAGCCATCTACTTACCAATATACTGTTGAACTGTTCAAATGAGACTCTCACCTGACACGTGTAGTTTTTGAACTAATGAGAATAACTGACATTCGAGTGAGTCAGGTTAGTATCGTACTTGAACAACATATTAATGAATAGATGACTGCGGAACTCGCTGCGCTCGTCCCGCAGAGGTCCACCCATAAGTGCCGCAACAATCCAGTCGTTTGTACTTGAATAACTTGTCACATTATATTACTAGTTTGGTAAAGTAACATTACCAATTCCTGTTAATAGGCAAATTGACAAAAAGTGGATAATCTTACACATTCTGACTTTATATAATAAGTTATTGTTTAAGTACAAATAAGTGGATTATTGCGGAACTTATGGGTGGACCTCTGCGGGACGAGCGCAGCGAGTTCCGCAGCCATTTACTTACCAATATACTGTTGAACTATTCAAATAAGACACTCACCTGAAACGTGTAGTTTTTGAACTAATGAGAATAACTGACATTCGAGTGAGTCAGGTTAGTATCGTACTTGAACAACATATTAATGAATAGATGAGGTCCTCTCATAAATGCCGCAACAATCCACTCGTTTGTACTTAAATAACTTGTCACATTATATTACTAGTTTGGTAAAGTAACATTACCAATTCTTGTTAATAGGCAAATTGACAAAAAGTGGATAATCTTACAAATTCTGACTTTATATATTAAGTTATTAATTAGGTAACGGCCCAATTAAGGACCGATTGAGAAGTGTTTTATCTCTGCAAGACCATCCGTGGACGCGTTTCGCTGTATCACAGCTCATCAGCACGGTTTAGGTCCCGCAGAGAGAAAACACAACCCATTTTTGGTTCCATCCCGGAACTGGGTTTAATACAAGTAAAATGAAGACAGGGTCTCCATCTATTTTCTGTGTGCCGATCAGAAAATAGATGGAGACCCTGTCTTCATTTTACTTGTATTAAGTTATTGTTCAAGTACAGGGTGTTTTCTACCTATTTACTGTATTATTTTTAGGCTATCATCATGCAAGTCTCTCTCAGTCAATTTTTTTAAAGTTTTTGCTAGATCTGTTTTGTTTCATCTACTCTAATTATTAATATCGTTTCTAATAGAAATTATATTTGTTGCGAAACTCTTGATAAGCCATTCTGTTTTCAAACTTGAATTCATATTATCTTGTAAACCGCTCATAGGGATACAAACAAAACTATATATATATATATATTGTGTTAGTTGAAAATCAAAGAAAAGCAATTATAAAACTACCCATAATTAGGGTAGCTTTTCAATATAATATATTTTCTCAAAACGCACACATTTGTTAATAAAAACATTAAAAAATACATCAAAACTGTATATTACCTTCCATCGACCTCACGTTTATATCTTTAAAAGAAAAAAAAAAAGTTAATAGAGAAATTTTACTTATCCAATAAGTCATTTTTCAATAAACTAACCTGTCAACTATTAAGAAATTGAAAAAATTAAGGTTACTTGCATTACTTAATTTTGAAGATACGTATGTACCCAAATGGGTTTAAAAACAATCAAATTAGGTTTTTCAAGTATTTTCGAACAAATAACGTATCTAATCAAATCACCTATAAGCAACAAGCTTATAAAAACAGCAAAATTAACAATTTTACTGGTATAACAAGTAACAACGACATACATTATATTTATTCATAATACTTACATAATTGCAAAAAAAAAAAACGTTTATTCATTTCATTTATACTTGGTATAGGTTAGTGTCCAACTAGGTACCTACTATGTACATGATTCTCTGCCTATACTTATGTATTAATTATTGCATAGGTAATACATATTTTTCAATCAAAAAAAAATATATATAAAACTTACGAGCAGTAGGTACTGTATAATAATTATATGCATACTCTAGAAACCTTTTTTGTTTCCTTTGAAAATTTGTAATGGATTTCCATCGACTATCGGCTAAATCAATCTCTTTTATATGCATATTTTATTCTATTGAAATATATTTGACTTACCTATCCCTAGTCTTGATAACATCATCGCTCATATTCCTGTTACTACCATTATAGTTCAGGACAACGCTTTCATCACTCACAGCTTGATCTCCTTGCATCTGATCGTAAACGTCCACGCTGTCTTCAGATTTCTTCTCAACTGCTTCATCGTCATCGGATTGTTTGGATTTTTTCGAACGACTCTGCTCTAAAATTTCCTCGTAATAGTCGTTGAGGAAGTTGTCCAAGGCTTTTTCGAATTCTTGTTTCGAGTGTAACATGTTTTTTAGGTTTGTCGAGGGGGCTGCGTTAATTTGAGTCAGTAGGTATAAACTTACCACTAGGTAAGCGGTTAAAATTGATGAGAACATTTTCGGAATTGTCCTAGGAGGAATTTGATGATGTGACTGAGTTTCTGGAAATAAAAAAATATATACATAAACAGAAATATAAATTATTTAGGTTTAATAAAGGCCCTACCCTTGCAAAGAAAAATCATTTAAAATATGTAAATTGGATACACACAAATTTCAAACATATTACACACACATCACAATTCAAGCAAGACTGACCGAAAAATGCATATATTAAATTAGGTACCAATTCCATGGTCCTTGACTCTATTTAATTTTTTTTTTTTTTTTGAATTCCGATCATTTAAAGTTATTTTTAGGATTTTTGTACGATTTATTGATATATAGTACCTATTTATACACATCTCTCAAATATTTCAGATAAAAGATACAGGAGGACACAAGTCGAACGACTTAAAATTATTTTCCAAAAGAGTCCCAGATATTAGGAATCTATATACTATTGTGTGTACAAGTCTTATGTATTTTCTTTTCTCATGTAATAAAACCATACATAATAATATGTCGATTTTAATGGAAAAGCTTGAAGGTCACTCTCCTCTGCCGTCTTATTTTGATTTGTCATACGAAAGACTTCTTAACACCACGAAAAAGTTGATAAAATAAAATTATTACAATGTTTATGATGAAGTCTTTGATAATGGTTAGCAGATGAAGTGATAGAACCACTGCCTCCCAGATAATAACGAACCTTTCAAAATTTTATGTCAGTCTGGTCATTTTTTGCCACACCATTCAGTTTACAGACCCAGTAGTGCCACAACACCTACCTGTACGACCTATTTTTGATGCGTCATCAAAGGAAAAAAGTCAACCATCTCTGAATCAATTTTTGAAAAAGGGATCTTATTAAATTGATCCCTTCCATGATTTAACGTTTTCGAACAGAGAAGACTGGAGTAACTGCTGATATAAAAAAGGCATTTCTTCAGATCAGCTTACAAGAAAGTGATCGAAATGGTAAAGTTCCTGAGGTATGATAAAGACAACACCTGAAAAATATTTAGACATACACGAGTGGTATTTGAAGTATCATGCAGTCCTTTTAGTAGAGTGAAAGGTAAGGCGTCATTCCACCTAGGGAATCATTCTTCCCCCCACCCTGAAACACCCCCCATTATTCTACTAAACACCCCCCATTTTATTCTTCTTTAATTCCCCTCATTTTCTAACTTTAACTTAGGTATATTTATTTAAAATCATCAATTATATTCATTTGGTTGCGGACAACAAAACTATAAAGAAGATCATCAACATCACCCTTCTACGAAAACTTGAAAATGAATTGTTGTTCCTCCATAGACCACGTTCTAGCTCATATGAATGGTGAAAAACTGGTTTCAGATTTTACAAGTGAAGAATTATTGAGAATACCGATGGATTATTTGTTAAAAAATGTGAAGACATTTGAAGTTTTGGATGCATGGAGAAAGTTACCAATGAGTTACAAAAACAGTTTGGTAGTGGTAGGGTTAGAAGTGGGGTAGGTGGTGGGATCAGAAGTGGGGTGGGTGGTGGGATTAGGATTAGGGGGGTATGTGATGGGGGGAAGAATGATTCCCTAGGTGGAATGACGCCTTACCTTCCACTCTACTCCTTTTCTATTAGGAGTAGTAGACTACCACCTTAAGAAAACTTTCAAAAAATCAGAACGGGAAGAAGTAATCTACAGTCGTGATGTTATTTCCAAATTAATGAAGCGTTTTTATGTTCACAACGTTCTAGCAAGCTTATCAGATTAAGAGCTGTAAACCAATTCATGTTGAAGTTGAAGAAAGAAGCAACATTCTTGGACTTGTTTGGAACAGAAATTTAGACACTTTGGAACATTCACTAGAATTTGTTGTACAACAGGTAACCAAACAAATTATTTTATCCACAATTCATAAGTTGTTTGACCCCATCTGCTTTTCGTGTCCCAGTTACGTTGATTCCAAAACTTTTACTCCAAAAGACATAATCTTCGAATTTGGTATAAGACGCTGAGGTCACTGGAGAAATTCAAGAAATATTTTTGAAATGGCTACACGATTTGCCACCTTTGTTAAAGTTGCTCGATAGATAGCTACAGATTTTAAAGAATCGATTACCTACTCAGTCTTTACATGTCTTCTGTGATGCAAGTGCTGACGTTTATGCAGTGGCGTAACTTCAAATCCGAGACCCTCCCACAAGGATTTTCCCAGAGCCCATCTTTTATATATATATTTTTTTAAATTTTTCTTTATACAGGGTGTCCGTTTTAAGTGATACCACTATTGCTATCTCCGAAACGGTAAGAGGGACGAGGTCGGTTAAATTAGATAAAAGTGGGTGGCAAATTTTAGTATTCATTGAAGGTAAGTTCACAGGGTTGCCAAATCTTTGTACATTTCCAAGATATAAGGGAAATGTAAAAAACATTTAAAACTTATTTAATGAATATTTCAAAATCTATCAACTTTAGAAAAAACTGTTCAATACAAAAGTTCCAAGATTCTTTCTTGTCTATAAAATGGCGTTTGTTATCTTCACACAGCTTCTAGTTGTGTTTATATTATACCTCAGAGGCTTTATATCTCGGAAACAAATGCGGCAACCCTGCGATTTTTATTCAATTTACCCGACCTCATAGATAGCAATAGTGGTATATATCACTTAAAACAGACAGTTAATTTTGCATCTGTGAGTATGTCTGAACATTTCTCTCTGAGATTTCTTATATTGGTTAGACCAGACATACTTTTTCAATGGTTGATATGTATTATGAGGTTCATAGGTTAAAGTATTTTCTTTCAGTTTACTACTACTCTTGTCAACAGTTTAGTACTTTTACCTGATCTGGGCCAGAGCTGGGAGTAACGAATAAAAATCGTTACTTTACATTAACGAATTACTAAAAGTAATGCGTTACTTGGTAATTTCGTTACTTTTTGGATTGATTGAAAAATAACTGTAACAGCGCTATTTTCCAAAAGTAACTGCAGATCGTTGCTTCGTTAAAGTAACGAGTTACTTAGAAAGTAACGCGATAATACGGAAGTAACGCCGTATTTTTAAAAAGTAATGTGTTACTATGAAAGTAAGGCGTTACTTTGAAATAACGCAATACTTTAAAAGTAACGTGATATTTTAACCTCAAATTTAATTTTCATAGAGGATTTTTAAATAAAATACTCAAAGTCAAAACACAGATAACGTTGTCTCATTTCGGGGAATGTCTTTTCAAGAGCCGAAAAAAGTTGAAATTACCTACCAAAGTTTATGTATTTTCCCTGAACCATCAAAATTTGTCATCAGATAAAATGAATGAGCAATATAAGTAATGTTCATTGTTCAATAAATAATAATTCAAGTTGTGTTTGAATGGAACACCTTAAATATTATAGAAATTTTGGGTTTGTCGTTGAATTCTAGTCTAGAGAACCAGTTAAATGACATATTATTAATATGGTAGGTATAAGTATGAAGTATTACGATAAATTCGAAATATTAAAAATATGGCTAGGTATAGGGTTTCTTATAAGAAAAGGCTGTTACTAATAAAATGTTCGATGATTACCTATATCTGTAGCGTGTTGTATGTTAACACACGTTGTATTTTTTCAATTTAGAACTCATCCTTCAACCTCCAACGCTGTGCATGTTATATGAGACTTAGATTATAGAAAGACCAAAAAGACAGCATCTCACTCCATTTTTTAATAATATATTCTTAAATATAACGTTTAGTTGCCAAATCCGTTTAAATTTTGCAACAAAACTCTTCCACCTATAGGACATACTGGGTATTTGGGTTACCTATTTGGTGTGCAAAATTAAGGAATAAAGGCGCAATTTTCGAAATAAAGAGTTATTTTTGAAGAAACGCATTACTTCGTAAATAACGCGTTCTAAAAGTAACGCGTTACTTTCAAGTATAACGAGTTACTTTTAAGTAACAAGGTACTTCTAAAGTAAAGAGGTTAGTTTCAAAGTAACGAAGTTACAGTAACGCGTTACTTTTCAATCAGTATCGGAAATTAAGTTATTATAATTTGAAAATAACTTTAAATTTCAAGTAACGCGTTATTTTCAAACACAAGTAACTGTGAAGTAACGCGTTACTTTTTTCGAGTAAAGATCCCAAGCTCTGGTCTGGGGTCCCGCGGGGCCCCAAAGATCACGGGGCCTCCCCGCAACTGCGGGCCCTTAGTTACGCCACTGGAATCAATTGAGAAGTTGAATAAGAAACGATATATTTTAGAAAAATAAAATATACAACTTTCTGCTGGATATTATTCATATAGCAATGAAAGACTCTGGACAAAAAAGTCTTGTTTTTCAGTTTAGCCGCCACTACATAGACTAAAATCATCGACTCATCAAACAAACTAAAGAATCCCGTTGGAATCTCACTGGAATGCCATGGAATCCTACAAAATTTCGATGAAATCCCACATGCTTGTATCTAAGGTGGGTTACCCATTGACTATAATAATCGAGAGATTTGAAGCGAAATTTTTGAAATCAGAGCAGCGGAAAAATTGAATAATGATGAAATTTCCTTCTCATTCTTTAGGTGGATTTTATCTCTGGAACTATAAGTCCAAATGAGTTGAAATTTTTAGGGTTTGTAGTCCTTTACTAGAATGAGATTCTAGGGAAATTTCAGATTCTTATCTATGATACAATTGGAGATATGATGTTTCCTAGTTTTCAGAAATTAATCTCCAAAGGTAGCTTCTCTCAAAAATGTGGAAATTTGGAACTTTTTTATGTTGAGTTTCTAACTTTGAATAATCATATAGTACCATATATAACCCAAACTCTATACAGCAGAAAATAATGATAAGATTCCCTTCTCGTTCCTTATAGGTGGATTTTATTTCTGGAACAAATGAGTAGAAATCTTCAAGGTTTGTAGTCCTTTACTAGAATAAGATTCTCTGAATTCTTATCTATGATACAATTAGAGATATGATTTTTCATAGTTTGCACAAATTTATCTCCGGAAGAACCTTTCTTCAAAAATACTGAAATTATAAATGATCAATTTTGGATCTCTCAAACTCCATACTGTGAATCATTGTGAAATAATTTGAAGCCGTAATGTTTGAAAAAAGAGCTGGACTGTTCATTTTATGTGAAAAAATTATTATTTTCCATTTCCACCACTATATAAGTACGTACCTATATACAAAAATTTGCAAAAACTTAAAAAAGCGTGTTTGTAAAAGTTCCTCTACACAAAACAAGTTCAATCATAATTTGTTGAAACTGAACTTGTAAAAACTTTACTTTTGATCTAGGAAACTATTCCCAGATTCAAAAAACTTCCTTCACAAATAATAGTTAAAATGCTTATTAACAGAGAAAGTTACATTAATTCATATTATGTAATAGTGCCTTATAGCACTTATAGATAAGAAAAACTTAATTATGATAACTTTTTAGAAAAACTCTTTTGCTCTTAGATTATTGGACGATAAACGTAAAAAATATCAGGCATAAACATTATGATTTATTATAAAAATTAATTATTGTTACCTTGAACAATTCGCTTCACAAAATACACTTTTTAAATATAAAGTTCACTAAGTGACGCACATTTTCAAAAAAAAATCTTTATGTAACAGTGCCTTATTTACATAAGCACAATTTTTTCAAATTGAAAATTACAACCGAAAAAAAAAAGACTTTCGTATCAGGGGTGAAAAACTACGAACTTTTTTTTCCAGGAAATGTTCACCGACGATTTTCTCAAGTAAAAGTATCCCGATTTCGTGAGCGATCCGCGGCTAGTTCAAAACTAAGCGCGTTGCCGCCTTTTAATAATAGACACTAGACGCGTGTGCGCGACAAAGAGGCAAAATGCGCGCGGCGTCCTTGTCTCGCCGCCTCATGTCACGCTAGACAGTCCGGCGACAGCGCGCCATTGGCGGAAAAAATGTCGCTCGCCAAAAGGTGTGAAATACGACGCAAGAATACAGGGTGGTACTTTCGCCATTCGTTCGTCGGTACTACCTTCGCAGAAATTATCGTTGTGGTACTTTTTTTTTGTGTTGCAGTATGATTTACAACAGTTGCGTAAACAAATCTATAGGGAAATGTTTGTGTCATCTGTCAATAATTATCTGAAGTTTGTGACAGTTGACTCAGGTAAGTGTGTGGTTGGTTGGCAATCATTGGATTCCCTAATACCGATTGGTTGGCAAATGACTTTTGCTTCATTGGTTATCTGTCAACTATAATCGACCGGTCGGTCAATCGCTTTTAATTGATGTGTGGTTGTTTTTTTTTTCGGTTCGGTTCCCATAAATGCCATGCGCACAATTAGACAATCCAATGACCTGTGAAAAATGACACCTGGTCTGTTCTCACAAGATTCTCTAACAGTTTGCAAACTGTAAGAAAGCATCGCCCATAAATTTTATCAAGGAAGTCGTTCCAAGATAAATTGGTAACTTAACTGAGCGATTGTTTCTGACAGTTTGCAAACTGTATAGACGCCATTGGTACAATCGGTAGGTACCAAATAGAGGTTCAGTTGAACGAGTTGAACTCTACTGGCACTTGATCTTTCCTATTTGAAACGCATTGATGTCAGATATATTTTTCGACGGCAACGCATTTTAAATGAGAAAGATCAAGTAGCGAGTTCAACTGAACTACTGTTTGGTATAAGGTTTGTTCCAACCCCTCAAAAAACCGTTCCAGAATGGTTACGGAAGCACTCTGTATACGAATTTCGGTTACTGCGCAAAAATTCTAGGTTTTGCGCAGAATCCTAAAGGTAATATTACGGTTTCCTGCTAGATTGGAACCAAAGACATCCAAGCCTTAGTAGTACAGCGGATTAGCTAACCTATTGTGCAATATTTAAATGGAAATTGGTTACCCATGATATTTGGATGAAATTTAAATATGTTATTGGTGATGCCGTAAGCAACATTTTTTACCCTGGGCACAACCCTGTATATATGACAGGTGAGGCGTGGTTAGCTGTCAAATATTGGAATCTTATATCCAAAAGCACAGTAACTATGGCAGATTTTGATGAACAAAAAATCTATTTCTACTAAGTCGACCAAGTTGAGTCGAAAAATGTCAACCATTTTGACACCTGCCAAAACCCTGTCAAACGGCAGCACTCATCTTTTCCAGTTTTCAATATTTCATGATATCATTTGACACTTTTAACTTGTATGTAAATTCTGAATTCAAAAATTGGAAAAAAAAAATGACAGAACTGTCAAAACCTGTCATTTGTTTTAGTAGAAAAAAATACTCTAATCTGATTCTTTTTTGTTTCAAGGTAGTTTATTGGTGATAAAACATTAAACAAAGTTGATGCATGTCACATTTTGACAACTGTCAGAATCTGTTTTTGCTTTTTGGTTCATATTGAGTTTGTTTGCTTAGTGAAGTTCTACAACTACAATGATAGAATAATACAATAATACAATAGAACTAAACCTTCACTAAGCAAACAAACTCAATATGAACCAAAAATCTATTAACAGATTCTGACAGTTGTCAAAATGTGAGATGCATGAACTTTAATGTTTTATCACCGCTAAACTACCTTGAAACAAAAAAAGAACCAGATTAGAGTATTTTTTTCTACTAAAAACAATGACAGGTTTTGACAAGTCTGTCATTTTTTTTTTTTCAATTTTTGAATTCAGAATTTACATACAAGTTAAAAATGTCAAATGACATCATAAAATATTGAAAACGGGAAAAGATGAGTGCTGCCGTTTGGCAGGGTTTTGACAGGTGTCAAAATGGTTGACATTTTTCGACTTAACTTGGTCGACTTAGTAGACATCGATACTTCGTTCATCAAAATCTGCCATAGTCACTCTTCTTTTGGATATAAGATTCCAATATTTGACAGCTAACCACGCCTCACCTGTCATACATACAGGGTTGTGCCCATGGTGAAAAATGTTGCTTACGGCATCCCCAATAACATATTTAAATTTTATCCAAATATCACGGGTAACCAATTTCCATTTAAATATTGCGAGGTCCATTTGGCACAGAGGTAGATCGATGTAATATGAACAAATTTGCATGTGGAGTCATCGACCAACTTCCCCCCGGCCGGCGGCCGTGGCGGCGATTTTCTAAAATGGCCGCTAGTGGACACCCCGAGAGACAACGGAAGTTAGATAAAGTTTGCTGCCGAAGGCTTAGGTGAATATTTATTGATAGTTTTCAATGAAAACATGCCAGATAGTTTGTAAGTTATACAGGGTGAGGCACGAAAAATTTCCCACCTAGGTTTTCTCAAGTCAATTTTTGTTTTTTGGGGGACATATTTTATTGGCATTTTTACTCTCTACCCGCAAAATTTTCTAATGGAAAGGGGTTTCGAGTGATGCAATGTACTACATATTTCCTAACTTTGAAAAGCCGCCATTTCGGCAGGGACCATTTATCCTGCCGCAACTTAAAATTTCGAGGATATAATCTTAATAAAACTTTACAGCAAATGACATACCACTCGACCCCCCTTTCCATTTTAAATTTTGGGGGAACGTGTCAGCCCGCTTAGGGGTTGACAGATGGGGAGGGTGAGAATACCAATAAAATGGTCGAGCGATTTTTAATTATTCACTTAACATCTGAGAAAATCTGAAGTTTTTCGTACCCCGCCCGGTATATATACAAGGTGTCCCACGAGGTTTTACCCAGTTGATAACTTCGGAACGTATCATCCAATATAATTGAAATTTTGAGGATCTGGGTAACTTTTTGTGCCGCTTCTACATGCCTCATCCAATTTCACTTTCGCTTCAGTTTCGGACCGGTCAAGTGACGGCAACTTTAGAATCTTAAATGTGACTGATGGTATTACAATTACATTAATTTTTGTAGAAAATCAAATTGCAAAATTGGCAATGCCATATTTGCTAAGGCTTGATAATAAATTACAAAGTGGAATATTCTATGACGCGTTTCGAAGTTATTATCTGGGTAAAACCAAGTAAAACGTCGTGGGACACCCTGTATATACAAGGTGGAGCACGAAAAACGTCCCACCCAGGTTTTCTCGAGCTTTAGGTGATTAATCAAAAATTGCTCGACCATTTTATTGGTATTTTCACCCCTACCTGTCATTCCCTAAGCGGGAGTGATAGATACCTCCAAAATTTCGAAAAGTCGGGTGATACGTAATTTGATAGGAATTTTTATTGAGATTTTTATCCTCAAAATTTTAAGTTGCTGCTAAAACTACGACTTGTCAAAGTTAGGAAATAGTATACATACACTTGGCTAAACATAAAACTGGTACCAGTGTTGCCAACTTGGTAAAATAATTACCAGATCTGGTAATATCGACCCCGGTTTTAGTAATGAAGATTTTCAAAATATATCTAGTAATATTTCTGGTAATTTGACATTTAATTTCAGCAAAATTCTGGTATTTTCGCATTAGCAGTCAATCTATTTTTTTTTGAATTTATGGTCGTTTGCACCGTCCATTTTGAGGGAGCTTTAACGATAATCAACGCTTAAAGTGACATTTTTACATGTTGGAATTTGACATTTGAATGTGAAATTTGAATCAATAGGAAAGAACTCCGCAAAAAATGCATCGCTATTTCGTGTCTATGGAGACTAGTCTTAAATAGTTATGCCAAAGGTTACCAATATACCTATTAGGGCCGGTTTATTCACCTTCTGATAAACTGTCAGGTATGCAATCTGACCCATATATAAACGAAATATGTTATCCCATTGGTTGGCCAGTTATCCGCCGACCAATAGAATTATAGAACGGTGCACTTATCTTGCAGAGAGTTACCAAGGAGCTTATCTGAAGATGAACAAACCGGGCCTAAGCATGTTTACCAATATCTGTAATGCTATGTTATACAGAATGGATTTTTTTTTTACAATAATGTATTTGTTTATAGGTATCCTGTGTATACATTAGGTATGCAGTGTTATTTTATCTGAATAGGTTCTATTTTTCCATACTAGATATTGTTGTTATTGCATTTTTAATTTAAACCTAACGAATTTTGTTTAGCAACAAAGACCTAGTAATATTCTGGTATTGGCAGGATTGAGAAAAATCTAGTAATATTCTGGTATTCCACGTTTTATAATCTGGTAAAATGGCCATTCATATAGTTGGCAACACTGACTGGTACAGGCAATAAATAGTTCTTTTCACGTGGCTCCGGTTTAACTAGCCGGGTTACAAAACGGTTAGAGGAATGACATACCGTTTTCTAACCCGGTTACAAAGTGACGTGATGGATACCTACCACTGGAATTTGAGCGGTATGTTGCGGTTTGTTAAACCGAAGCCACGTGAAAAGGGTTAATATATATTTTTAAATTTGCCTAGTGTGAGTCAGGCTTAACAACAAAAAGTCTCTTCTGAAATACGTCAAAACTGAACAAAAGTAAGTTATGATTGGTTTAAATATGACACTGACTTGACTCTTTTTGTCATTGTTGAGGTGATAAAAAAGGTCGATTTGGACAATACAACACAACAGGAAAATGCGTACCAGTTTTATGATTGGCCAAGTGTACATACATTGTATCACTCGAACCCCCTTTCCATTTGAAATTTTGTGGGTACCTGTCACCCCCTTAAGGGTTGACAGGTAGAGGATGAAAATATCAATAAAAGGTATCTTTTGTGCCTTTTTTCATATAATTAGGCTCCAAATCTCAGGATTTAGTGTAGGTACTTATGGAGTTTGGGAGATCCCAAAGGACGACACGCAAAAAAACAAGTTTAAAAATTCAAAATAATATTCAAGTAACTA